GTTCTCAGCTGGGAAATGGTGGATCTGAGATTGGAACCCAGGTCCATTCCTACCAGGTTATATGACCCTCCCTGAAACACCAGGAAAATCCAGCCATGTTCATCTTTGCCTCCCAAAAGAACTTAGTCTGGTCCCGGGCCAGGGAGCAGAACAGAACTTCTCTTCCCCCATTGCCACACCCCTGGTCCTCAGAGTGGAGCCTGGCCCTTAGCCCATGTAGGGGCTAGCCCATGTAGGGGCCACAGTGAAAGGAGTCCTGGCTGGGTGGCCTTGTTATCACTCCTGTCTGGACCTCAGAGGGACTCTCAGGCTTGGGGATGGCAGGCTAAGGACTGGTGGGACTCACCGGGGTCACTCGCAGATTCTCAACCACTAGGGCCTCCCGTAGCACCAAATGCCCAATACTCTGTAGCTGCTGCAGGGAGATCACCAGTGTCCTGAGAGACCTGCGGGTGTGGCAGGGAGCAGAAGAATGACCCAGGAGGATGGCCCCATGCCACGTCCAGCCCTACCTGCATCCTTGGCTCCCCCAAGCCTACTCACCTGGGGCTGAACACACAGCTGCAGTTAACCACCTGCACAGACAGGCACTCCCCGACCAGCGGCCCCATAGCGTGGCCAACAGAACTGCTGGGGATAGGAGGAATCTTGTGATACACAACACTGGGCTGACCCTGACCGCCAGTCCAGAGCCTATCTTAACCCTGAAACAGGATCCAACCCTCCAAACTAGGAGCTAATTCTATGACTAATGTCCCAAACCTGGAACCAACTCCCCCTTCCCCAACACAGGGTTGACTCCACACTAGGGCTGATCTGAGGGTAAACTACCAGCCAAGAACTAATCCCCCCTCACTCTTGATTCTGACTGGGTCTGGCTTCTCAAGCCTGAGACTGACCCCACTTCCTGAGAATACAGCTCCCAAAACCCAGGAATAAGCCCCCCAACTCATAAAGAGGGACTTGGGTGTGGCACAGATCAGCTTCTCCACATCCAGGACCCAATCCCACTCACCTCACCGATATCTGCTTCTTTTTTTTTTTTTTAAGATTTTATTTATTTATTTGAGAGAGAGAGAGAATGAGAGATAGAGAGCACGAGAGGGAAGAGGGTCAGAGGGAGAAGCAGACTCCCCGCTGAGCAGGGAGCCCGATGCGGGACTCGATCCCGGGACTCCAGGATCATGACCTGAGCCGAAGGCAGTCGCTTAACCAACTGAGCCACCCAGGCGCCCACCGATATCTGCTTCTTGACCACAGTGAATTCTCGTTTTTTGGGTGAAGCCTGCTCAGAATTGAAATAGTCATTTATCAGTCCCTCCCCACAAAAAAATCACACACACACACACACACACACACACACACACCAGACGCCCAGCCCAGGGTCCAGTCTCCCAGGGTTCACCCTTAAAGAAAGGTAGAAAGGAAAAGAGGCAGAGAACTGGGCTGTGGGGAGGAAGGAGACAGGCTGGAGAGATGCCTAGGTACTGCATTGGGGGCCTAGGGCATGGAAAAATGGGAGCCCCCCGGTTCCAAAATCCTTAGAGCACCCCTACAAGCTGAGCCTCACTTGTCGGTCATGGGTGCCTGGCAGCCCTCTCAGTCGCCACACACATGCAGTCAGAGCCTTTGCCCCAGGGCCACTGGCTTTCCCTCTGCCCGTCTGCCCTCCTGCCCACCTGCCCACTCACCCTGTTTGCCTCTGACTCAACTGGACTCACCCAGCAGGTTCGGCAATCCCTGCCCTTTAGTCAAACACACAGGCAGGCCTGGAGGTCATGGGTGGAGAGGGAGCCGAAGGGCTGAGAGAAAGGGGTAAGGTCCCTATGGTCAGCTCAGTCGTCCGCCTGCACCAGCTTTAGCCTCCATCCTGCATGCATCCTGGTGAAGTGGGAGCTGGAATAAGGTGGAGATGTAGTTAAGGGAAGAGACAGAACCCTAGTCTGTCCCCACTAGCCAAGGAGGCCTCAAAGGCACAGGTCTCAGGATGCTCCTTAATCATCTCTCTGTCCTCAGTGCCTCGCTGAGGGTCTGGTATGTGGTAGACCCTCAAAAAACTGACTAAATAAATGGATGGGTTAATAAATGAATCCCCTAGCCCCCAGCATTAGTGCAGTAGGCACTCAACACATTTTAATTAATGAGTGGTTGAATGTATGTCCCTAGCTTGCACACGGCAGGTGTTCAGAACACTTCTTAACCAGGAGCCAGAGGCCCTTAACTTGGGGTCTTGGGGGGACTTGGGGTCCTACTAGTGGGACCATAGATAAGCTTCAGGGGGTCTGAAAATTCTTGAAATTGTCTATAAAATATTGAACAATTGTGCATTTTTCTGGACATAGAGGTCCTTGCTTAGGTTAGTAACCCTTAAACAGATGTGCAGTACGTTTACCGAATGAAGGAATGAATGTATATGGGAGTCTGTACCCATGTGTGATTGTAACTGTGTGTTGAGTGCATATCCTGGCCATCCATTTAATCGTTCTGTTTAATGACACCTGCTATATCCAAGACTTATGCTATGCCACCATGTAGGGGAAGGGTGCAGCCACAGAGGTGAATCAGACATGTTCTCTGTCTTTCAGTAGCTTCACAGATTCCAACACCAAACAAAGTGTAGAAAGACTGCAATTGCCATCAAGACCAGGATAGGGTCAGGACCCAGGGACTCAAGAGGAGGGAGGCCAGAGGCACTTTCCCTGAAGAGACAGCGTTTAAGATGGGCTTTTGAGGGGGCACCTGCCTGGCTCGGTCAGAAGAGCATGTGACTCTTGATCTCAGGGTCATGAGTTCAAGGCCCACATTGGGCATGGAGCCTAGTTAAAAAAATAAATAGGTAAAATAACATGGGCTTCGAGGACAGGAGTTGATCAGAGAAGGACATCCAGAGGAAGGACTGCAGGGTGGGTTCCGGAACCTGAGATTTGTCATTTTGGCCTGTGTACAAGGAATGTATCAGGCAGCAGCAGAGATAAGATTAGACCTTCAGAGGAGCTGGGTCTTGCTGTGTGGGCCATGAGCCAGACATAGTCCCTCCTTGTGCTTCAGCTTCTCCAATTCAACAGAGGGGTTGGAAAGCCCTGTTCTACCTGTTTCCCAGATAATCAGGCATGGATTGTTCTGTTTTTAAGTAAGGTCCAGGTTAGACCTTAAGGCCCCAGATGTTGGGGGAAGGCTTCACCTCCCCAGTTGACAGATAGGGGCAATGGGATCCAAAGGAAGGCGGAGAGGGGACCAGAATTCTTAGCTTGCAGTGCCTTGGCCTTTCCCTCCCTTCACCCCTAAACTCTGTGGCATCTAATCAAGCAGAGTATTGATGCCACCCCTCTGGAAACTAATGTGGGCATTTCCCCTTCTTTTTTTTTTAAGATTTTATTTATTTGAGAGGGAGAGAGAGAGAGCGAGAGCAAGCGAGAGCACAAGAGCAGGGGTAGGGAGAAGGAGACTCCCTGCTGAGCAGGGAGCCCCATGCTGGGCTTGATCCCAGGATGCTGGGATCACCACCAGAGCCAAAGTCAGACACACTCAACCAACTGAGCCACCCAGGCATCCTGGGCACTTCCCCTTCTGGGCAGGAACACAGCCTGGCAAGTTCTCGCTCCCCCTCAACCCTTCTAAGAACTGTCACTTTCTCTTCCTAACATTCCAAAGAAGTTGGGATGTGGCAGAAAGTATTGGGCTCGAGGGCAAGATTTTGGAATTCTAATCTCTATCATACACTGTGTGGACCCTAGAAACTCCTTTCGCCTTTCTGGATCTATTTGCCTAGCTGTGTAATGTGCATAGAATGCACTGCATTGCTTTTCAAAGTGTGCTCCTTAATCAGGATCACACACATGGTTGTTAAAAGTGCACATTCCTGCACCCACTCAAGAAATGCTGAAGTAGAATCTCAAAATGTATCTGGGAACCTGAATTTCTATTCTGTTGCACAGTAGGAGTGTGGGAACCTCTGGTCTCTTGGCTGTGACCATCTGGGATTCCTCATTCCATTTTCTGCAACGCAAGATGGATGGTCTGAGTGTGGGTATGGTGGTTGATAGGGACTGAATTCTCACACCACGGGCCTCTGGTGAATATGGGTTTGGGAGAGGGAAGCACAGATCCCAAGGTCAGAGTTCTCTGGCCTGAGGACTAGGATGAGTGGAGGGGCCTGAAGGGTTTGCCCGGCAAAAGAAAACTAAATGTTTATTTAGAAGTGCCCTGGGTGGGTGCCTGGGTGGCTCAGTTGGTTAAGCGACTGCCTTCGGCTCAGGTCATGATCCTGGAGTCCTGGGATCGAGTCCCGCATCGGGCTCCCTGCTCAGCGGGGAGTCTGCTTCTCCCTCTGACCCTCTTCCCTCTCATGTGCTCTCTCTACCATTCTCTCTCTCTCGCTATAAATAAAAAAAATCTTAAAAAAAGAAAAAGAAGTGCCCTGGGTGACTCCCTGCCTCCTCCTCCTCCTCTTTTTTTTTTTTTTTTAAGATTTTATTTATTCATTTGACCGAGAGAGAGAGAGAGAGAGAGACAGAGAGAGAGAGAGCGCACAAGCAGGGGGAGCAGCAGGCAGAGGGAGAGGGACAAGGAGGTCCCCCCCCAGGTCCTGGAGGATACACTAGTGAACAAGACAAAAATCCCTGTCTTCATAAAGTTTACGTTCTGGTGGGTGTGACATGCAAAGGATAGGATATGTATGTAAGTAAAATATACAGCATGTTGGTGATATGAGCTGAGGAGAAAAACTAAGCAGGAAGAGGGATAATCTTTTATGACAAGTGCATAAGATAGGGTCTTCTGGGAAGTGATGTGATGTCATCGCTTGCTTTAACATGGGAAAGAATAAGAGACTGCCATGGCTCCCAGGGACGTCACGACTAGCTCTGTGACGCACCCTCAGGGAGTTCCGTAGAGACCCTAGGCTCCTTTATGACGTCAGCAGCCGGGCTCAGCTACAGGGGAGAGGGTTGAATCAAGAGGGTTGAATCAAGAGGGGGGGGGCCCGCCGGCTGCACACAGGGTCCGTCGCGTCCCGGCGGCGCACATCCGCTGAGGGAGAGCCTTGCCGGCTGCGGCGGCAACTTTGGCGTCCGTGAGAGGGCGCCCCGGGGTCAGGATGCGGCGGAGCCCTCGCCCGGGCTCGGCCACTTCCCCTCACAAGCACACGCCCAACTTCTACAGCGACAACAGCAACAGCTCAGTGAGCGTCACCTCGGGGGACAGCAGCGGGCACCGGTCAGCTGGGCCGGGGCCCGGGGAGCCCGAGGGCAGAAGAGCCCGGGGCTCGAGCTGCGGTGAGCCCGCCTTGAGCGCAGGAGTGCCCGGAGGAACCACATGGGCTGGAAGCTCTCGGCAGAAGCCGGCGCCTCGGAGCCACAATGGGCCGACCGCCTGTGGCGCGGCAACCGTGAGGGGCGGGGCCTCGGGTGCGGGCGGGGTCGAACCCGGGAGAGTTTAGGGAGGGGGCGGGGCCTGGCATGGAATCGGGATTAAGTCTATCTGGACACCTCCTAAGGGGCGGGGCCTGTAGGGCGAAGAGGGGAGGCATCAAATACGATTTCCCTAAGGGGCGGGACCTCGGTGTGATGGACGGTCCTGGGAAGGGGCAGGGAAATCCTGTGATTGGACACAACTGAGGAGGCGCGGCCTCGGTGTTAGCATAAGTAGCTACAGAGAAATAGGGCAGCACCAAGACTTGCCTGGGGGCGGGGCCTCCGTTCCGCTGGGGGATCAACGTCTTGACTTAGCAAGGGGCCCCAGAGCGCTGAGAGAGACCTAGGGTGGGGATGCGGTGGGACCAGTGCCCGTGGAGGCTGCCCCGCTTCTGGCCTGGGGAACCTGCGGCCAGGTCTCGGGGAAAGAGTAGACCTGCCTTGCGCAAGGCCCCAATGGCGCCCTTGGGCTCCCGCAGAACTGGCTGGCTCTCCCGTAGTCTCTGAAGATCAGCTCGACCTTCTCTCAACCCTGGATCTGAGGCAGGAGATGCCTCCACCGCGCGTGTCCAAGAACTTCTTGAGTACGGGCCAGGCCAGCCTGGAAACCCTCTGACCTTCTGGCTCCCCTCTCTGAACTCCAGTTCTCATTTCTGAGAGACCCTGCTCGTTCTGAGCCCCGATCCCATGTCAGTCTCCAGCCCTTTCCCTGAGTCCAATCCACCTTCTCTTAGCGTGAACTCATTCTCCTTGCCCCCATCTAATTCTCCTAGCCCAACCCTCTCTTCCCAAGCCCCTCCTGAACCTCAAACCCCACGCTCTCTGAGCCCTTCTTCAGCCCTGCCCTTCCTCTAAGCCCCCTCTCCTCTCCCCAGACCTGCTGTTGCAGGTGCTGAGCGTGTTGCTGTCCCTGGTAGGAGACGTGCTGGTCATTGTGTACAGGTCAGAGGGAGGAAATGGGGCGGGGAGCAGGGCCGGACCCGCGGAGGCTTGAGCCTGACTCAATCAGACCTGGCTGAGTCGTGTCCGCGGAAGCTGGGTCTAGGACCTGGCGTGGGGCTGCGGGGTGCATTAGGGTCCCGGGCCTCAGTCTCCCTCCGGTTCTTCAGGGAGGTCTGTTCCATCCGCTTCCTGCTCACGGCTGTGTCACTGCTGAGCCTCTTTCTGGCAGGTGAGGGGGTGGAGAATCCCCTAGGGCCCCAGCCCTGGCTGCTTTGCAGCCAAACCCGGCACATTTTCTCCTATATCCCTTAGCCCACTCAACACCTTCAGCTGCTCACAGTCCCCTTCAGAGCCCACTAGCCCCCCTCAGATGCAGCAGTCCCCCTCAAGCCTTTTCTCTCCTCACCACCCGTTTATGCCAGGGAAACCCTCTCCCTCGGCTTGCCCTTAGACCACTCCTCTTTCTCCAGCACTCTGGTGGGGGCTGCTGTACCTGGTCCCTCCTTTGGAGAATGTGAGTCAGGGCAACTGTATCCCAGGGTGGGTGGTTGGCAGGGTATAACCCTGGAGATTGTGGGGGTCCCCTTGGTTTGTGGGAGGGGGACAGCGCTGGAGGCTCTAATCCTAAGGAAGGGATATAAACAGATTTCTGAAGGACTGTGCCCAGAGATGGTTGGGGGTCTCTGAGAGGTCCTGGCAGGTCAGGGAAGGGAGGGCGGCAGTCCTCAAAAAGAAGGCCCTTTGAGTCCGGCTGCTCCCAGGCTGATGTGGGAGAAGAGAGTGGGTGGGAGCTGAGCAGCGCTGTATTTTGTCCCTCCCTCCTTCCAATAGGAACCTCAGGAGATGCTGACTCTAAGGTGAAAGAGGGCTACTGGGGTGGGGGATTAGGGGGCTCAAATGCGCTTCTGTGCGGGGCCTTACGGGAAGTGCCCAGAGGGACAGTGAGCCAACCACACGCGCCAACCTCCCGCCCGCAGCGAGTACCACGAGCGCGTGCGCTCCCAGGGGCAGCAACTGCAGCAGCTCCAGGCCGAGCTGGATAAACTACACAAGGAGGTGTCCAGCGTTCGCGCAGCCAACAGCGAGGTGAGGCCTGCAGCCTCCTGTCTGTCCAAAGTGTCGTCCCGTGGCTCCGCACACTGCTCAGTCCAAGGTCCACCTTGGAAACCCCTTGCGGAGCCCCGTTCCCTGGGTCCCGAGCGGTAAACCCCGCCCCAGAGCCCTGACTTGGGATTTCTCCCAGGGCCCACAAAATCCAACCCAGAGAACCGAGTCCCAGAACTCTGCCCCCCGAAAAATCTGCCTGCAAGCTCCGTCCCTCCAGGACCCGCCCTCCCTCTTTTCAGAGAGTGGCCAAGATTGTATTCCAGAGGTTGAATGAAGACTTTGTGAGGAAACCCGACTATGCGCTGAGCTCTGTGGGTAAGACCCAGAGACACTGCAAGACAGACTCAGATACACGGAAAGGGGCGGAGACATTGACACAGACAGACCTACGCACATGCCCGGCCCAAAGAGACCGACCTCGGAGACCCTGCCCCAGCTGTCTGTCAGGCCTGGGAGCCTCTGAATGATGGCTTCTCCCTGCTCCAGGGGCCTCCATCGACCTAGAAAAGACATCACACGACTATGAGGATGCGAACACTGCCTACTTCTGGAATCGCTTCAGCTTCTGGAATTACGCGCGGCCGCCAACGGTTATCCTGGAGGTGGGCCTGGAACCTGGATCCCAGAACCAGACCGGGGGCGGGATGCTTGGGAAAGGACCGCACAGCTCCCTGGAGGTGGGACCCGGCGGAACTGAGGGCGTGGCGCTGGGCGGGGCCCTGCCTGGCAGAGAATGGGAGCGGTTGGGGGCGGGGCCTGGTGGTGCTAGGGACTGGGGCACCGAACAGGATCTGGCTGGACAGACACCCGGACTCCGGGTGGACGACTGGGCGGAGCCGACGAAGAGGTTGAGCTGGGGGGGACGGGGGGCTACCTGAACCAACGCCCAGGCCGGGGAAGGGCCGAGTAGCTCTGTCGGTGGGTTCTGAAGGTCTACCTGCTCGCCTGCAGCCAGATGTGTTCCCTGGGAATTGCTGGGCTTTTGAGGGCGACCAGGGCCAGGTGGTGATCCGGCTACCGGGTCGTGTGCAACTGAGCGACATCACCCTGCAGCACCCACCACCCAGTGTGGCACACACCGGGGGAGCCAACAGCGCCCCCCGCGACTTCGCAGTCTACGTGAGTGGGGCTGAGGCTAAGGAGGTGGGGGATTTTGCCTAGAAAGTACCAGTCATGGAAACTGGTGTCACTATCTGAGTCTTTGCTTCTTATCTATAAAATGGAGATACTACCACTCGCCTCTCAGGCCTATAGGTTATAATTACAATCATATCCAAACATTAGGTATGGCTTTATTGAGCACTTATTCTGTGCTTTGCTTTACATGGATCATCTCCTTGCATCCAGTCAACAACCTAAGAAATGCTATCATCTCCCCTCTCACTGATGAGGAAAGTAATGCTCAGAAAGGGGATCTTATTTGCCAAAGCCACACAGCTAACAATTGGCGGACTAAACTGCAACCTGGTTTCTTGGAGCCCTCATCCCACACTACACTACCCTAACACCAAAAAATAAATGAGAGCGTGCATACAACTACTGCCATTGTAGGTCCTCCATAAAGTTGCTTTTTTCCCTCTCCCACCTGTGCCTCACTGTTCCCTCTACTCACTCTTCACCCACCAGGGCCTCCAGATTGATGATAAGACTGAAGTTTTCTTGGGGAAATTCACCTTCGATGTGGAGAAATCAGAGATTCAGACTTTCCACCTACAGGTGTGTGTCTCTGGGGGTGAGGGTGCTAAAGGAATGGGACAGCAAAGGAAGACTGGAGAGGAAGGCAGCCCTTGGGACAGCAGGCCTTGGCATGATCCATTTGTCTCCCCAGAATGATCCCCCAACTGCCTTTCCCAAGGTGAAGATCCAGATTCTAAGCAACTGGGGCCACCCCCGTTTCACATGCTTGTATCGGGTCCGAGCCCACGGCATGCGAACTTCAGAGGGGGCAGGAGACAGTGCCACAGGGGAACCCCATTAAACATGCTCATTGTTGGAGTAGAGTGCAGGTCTGTGTTCAAAGAAGCTGGATCCATGCTTAGGTGGGGTGGGGAGGGCTCTGGTTGCCTTTGGTATATAAATATGGTGGTAGGGGGTCTACTTTCCAATGCACCCTCTTAATTTGGAGAAGTTCAGATCAATATAATAGCAGCTTATGTTTTTGGAGTACTTACCATGTGCAAGAGATGGTGCTCTGGACATTCTACACATTATCTAACTAATCCTAACCCCAGAGGGGGAAACCGCCCAGGTCACGAAACACTCAAGGGAACAGTGCCACAGTGGAACCCAAATCTACCTTCTTCCAGAGGCCACCCTCTGTAACTCAGAGCTGCCAGTCAGCCTGAAGCCATATTTGTGCACCTTGCTTCCTACCCCTACCCTCTGGGAAAGTCCCCCCAACTCCTGCTAGGTGCAGGTGGAGAAGTTAACTACCCCTTTTCTTGAAGTAAACACTCAAAAACTAAGGAGTCTTGAGAACCTGTAGGAAGCATCAGAGTCAGAGTTGATGGAGGCCTCTAGCCCCATCTCAGGCTGTCTTTACTGCAAGGCCCAGTACAAGTGGTGTAAGTGTTCATCGGTCCCTGCCATCAGGGAGCCTGACAGGAGGGAGGATGCTCCAGGAAACAATTTCTTTATTGATCCACGAATTCTTTACTCTAACGGTCAAAGTAGAATTGGAAGAATAAAAGATGGAGGAGACAGGCATCAAAAGATTAAGGAGTTCTACCTGGACAGAGAATAGAAAACGGGGACCAGCCTGAGCAAAGGAACATGCACCATCTTGCCTCTTAGGATCCTTCCCAGTGTGTTCATGCATTGAAAGTATATACATATAGATTATGAACAGCTGTTACATCTCTAGGAAGTGGAATGCATAAGTATGTGCATATCCATTCCTTTAAATTTTCAGGATATTACTTTTGTAATTTAAATTACTCCACTGAGGGGCGCCTGGGTGGTTCAGTTGGTTGAACATCTGCCTTCAGCTCAGGTCATGATCCCAGCGTCCTGGGATCTCCCTCCTGCTTCTCCCTCTCCCTCTGCCTGCTGCTCCCCCTGCTTGTGCTCTCTGTCAAATAAGTAAATACCAGATTAAAAAAATAAAATTAAATAAAATTAAATAAATAAATAACTCTACTGAGTGCTCTCAAAGCCTAAGTTTAGAAATATGAACTAATACAGCTTTTCTGGAGGACAGTTTCACAAGAGGAACCAAAAGCCTTAAAATTTTTTACATTCTTTAATCATAGTAATTCCATTTCTAAGAACGGAGCCGAAGAATATATCAATGTAATCAAAGATAATACTTTTAAGGATATTCATCACACTGTTGTTTATAAAGAGAAAACTGGAAGTAGTATATAAGATAAACCAATTTTTTAAAAAAGATTTTCTTTGAGAGAGAGACAGAGACAACACAAGCAGGGGGAGGGGTAGAGGAAGAGGGAGAAGCAGTCTCCCCGCAGAGCAGGGAGCTTGACGTGGGACTCGATCCCAGGACCGCAGGATCATGACTCGAGCTGAAGGCAGACGCTTAACCAATTGAGCCACCCAGGCACCCCACACAAGAAGATAAATTATGCTACAAAAATGCGTCCAAAAGAAATGGTAACATTTAAGGGAATGTTTAATATCATGGAAAATAATTAATGATATATGGATAATTTCTTAAAAAGCAAGCTAGATTGGTATACATAATAAACTTCCATATCAAAAGAGTTCTATGGATCAGAAGATACTATAAATGAAAAGGCAATAACTTGGGAGGAAATATTTTCAACATGTATAAGAATAAAGGCTTAAACAACAAAAACACCTATAAATAGGCTATTCAGAAGAAATATAACTCACAAACACATGAAATGGTACCCTGCCTTCAAAATTAAATAAATTCAAGCTAAAAATGAAAATATTTTTTGCCTGTCATGTTAACAGATAAAGGGACAAAAAACTGTTATGGAGGGCAATTTACAGTATCTATTAAAATTTTAAATATGCACATTCCTAGCATTTCTACTTCTAGGAACATCCTTCAGAAATATTGTGGTAAATGTACAAGGATATTCATTACAGCACTTCGTAATACTGTAAAATTGGAGGGGACCCAAATCTCAATAAATAAGGGATTGGCTAAATAAGCTATAAGATACTCATACACAGAATAATATATATGCATTAAAAAGAATAAGGTCACCAATAAGTTCTAATGGGTAAGACACCCAACATGTTATAAAAACAAGGTGCGAAGAGTATGTATAATATCCTTAGGGAAAAAAAAGGTCAGACCTAGGAAAGAAAGAAACCCTCACCTGCTCTGTTATCTTATACAGTATTTATATTTGAAATAATTTTGTACTAACTAGCATACATTTTAAAGCATCTTAAAATAGTATGCATATGATCCCATTTTTGTAAAATAAAAAAACAGGTATATAGTTTTGCATGATGGACTAAAAAATATGCACTGAATATGTTTTTGGCACATGGGAGTTTGGATATTATTTTTTCTGTATTTTTTCTTTTATATGAAAATACATATTAATTTTCTAGTAAGAAAAAAATTAGCTATTAAAAAGATTCAGGTTTGTAGCCTATCTTTAGGATTTGAACCACCACTGCTCCCTCCTTGTCTGTGTTCCCAGCTCAGCCCTGTCCTAAGGCAGGGCAGGCTGGGTGTTTGGCTCACACTCAATCCTACAGAAGTGTCTCTAGACTTCTGGCCTGGAATACCCAATTTCTTTGCCTAGGGCTATGATGTCAGAGGTGTCCTTCACTCAGCAACCTCTAAGGGGGATAAACTGAGACTCAGGGAAAATAAACACGGCTAATAGTAAATTCCCACTCAAAAACACAGAGTGGTGGCAAAGCAGTGGTCTTCACTGATCTTTATTAAATGAAGGATTCCAGGGGCAAGCAGGAGGGATCAAGAGCAACAGCAGGAGCAAATATAAAAGTATAAAATGTAAAGTGCAGCACTGGGCAATGTGTGCAGGACTGAGCCATGCCCACAGGGACCTTGGGGACACAAGGCTGAGGACGAGCCACAGCCAACCCTCTAAGGGAATCTAGGCCTGAGGAGCCTGTGCAGGGCTCTTGGCTGGCAGTGGAAGTGGCTTGAATGGGGCCCAACCTTGGGCCTTGAAGTAGGAGACCAGTTGTGTGGGTACTTCTGCGAGCACAGTCTGTGCCAGTGTCTCCCGAGGGGCCTGCCAGAAGAAAAAGAGCAAGGTCAGTGGTGATCCGTAACAGCTTCCCAAAGTTTACATTTCATACCCAAAAAAGGATACAAAGGATATAAACCCCAACACCCAACCCTGCCCCACCGCAAGGGTGAGTATCCCCACTCAAGAGAGGGAGAGGGGTAAACTCCCAGATCCGGTCTGCCCCCAGGCTTGCCCCCACTCACGTTCTGGAAGTGGCGGTAGGGCACAAACTGCACTATGTCACGGGCAGCTGTCTCCCCGGAGCGTGCACGCAGGGGTCCACCATCAGCATCCAGCTGCTCCATGGCCTCAAAGTCAGCACCACCCACACCCACGATGATCACTGACATGGGCAGGTAGGAGGCACGCACCACAGCCTCACGTGTAGCCTCCACATCTGTCACAGCGCCATCAGTCAGCAGCAACAGCACCAAGTATTGCTGGGGATAAGTCCATTCACAAACTGAGGCAGACCTTCTAAACACCCCAGCCACACATTCTCATACTGATAAGAAGTCTCTTGTTACATATCCCTGAAGGGAACCCTTGACCAAGACAGCACACCACCACCACTACCTCCCATGATCCTCACCGAGGCAGTCCTCTGATGTGCAGCCTGGGTTGCCAACCTGGCCACATGGTTGATGATGGGTGCAAAGTTGGTGGGGCCATAGAGGCGAACTTGGGGCAGGGCTTGGCGGTAAGCATCCACAATGCCCTGGATGCCTAGAAAATGAAGGCAAAAAACACTGTAAAATACCAATCCTGACATCACCCCACCCTGGCCGAGGAGATTTGGGAACCTGGGTGCATTTCATTCAATCACCCCTATAACCCAAGGTACTTAACTTTATCCTACAGATGGGAGAACTAAGAACAAAGAGAAGGGCACTTGCCCTAAATCACAACTTGAGTTAAATCTGATTAAGGGGATGCCCTGAACAAATCTAAGATAGTTAAGCATCAGATTATAACCCACTTAATAAAATAATGAATTATAATCCATATAATAAGAATCCCTAGATAATTAATTAATGGGAAAGAAGAGGAAACTCTTAATAAATGTAGGAGGAATTACAAAATCTTTGACAATCACTGATTGCAAAGATCATCAATAGGTGCTAAAACTATAGGGTACTAGTTAATGAGTAACTAGGTTTTTTTTTTTTTTTTTATTTGACACAGAGAGAGACAGCAAGAGAGGGAACACAAGCAGGGGGAGTGGGAGAGGGAGAAGCAGGCTTTCCGCAGAGCAGAGAGCCTGATGCAGGGCTCGATCCCAGGACCTTGGGATCATAACCTGAGCCTAAGGCAGACGCTTAACGACTGAGCCACCCAGGCGCCTCTATGGATATAGCCTCATGCTATCTTCCCCACAGATACTTATTAATTACAAATAGCGGACAAACCTGGTAGATTCTACCTTTTTTTTTTATTTTTATTTTTTAAGATTTTATTTATTTATTTGAGAGAGAGAGAATGAGAGATAGCACAAGAGGGAAGAGGGTCAGAGGGAGAAGCAGACTCCCTGCTGAGCAAGAAGCCCGATGTGGGGCTCGATCCCGGGACTCCAGGATCATGACCTGAGCCGAAGGCAGTCGCTTAACCAACTGAGCCACCCAGGCGCCCTGGTAGACTCTACCTTAACCAAGTGATCAAGGTTAACAAGACTGGTAATAGGATAAATCAACATCAGGGCCTCCTGACATGGGGTACTGAGAGAACACATAGCATCGTTTCTGTAATATGCCCACCAAAAGTGCATAATCTGAATCTAATCATAAAGAAGTATCAGGTAAACCCAAACTGCAGGACATTCTACAAATTATCTAGCCTGTAATTTTAAAAAATGTCAATATCGTGAAAGACAAGAACAACTCTGGAAGACAAAGCAAACAAATGCATTATGTGATCTGAGATTTTCTTTTACTGTAAAAGACAACTGGCAAAATGAATAAATCCTAGATTGGATAATGGTATTGATGTTAACCTCCTGATTTTGAGAACTGTACTGCAGTTACATAAGAGAATGTCTTTGATTTTAGGAAACATACACTGAAATATTTAAGGGATGAAGGGTGCAAAGTTGGTGGAGCCACAGAGGCAAAGTTGGGGCAGGGCATATTCACTATAATTCTCAAACATTTCAGGGAAAAAAAAATGTGTATACACACACATAAATATATACATGTACATACAGATGTAGACATATGGCTGTATCTATATACATGGGGGGGCAGGGAGGGAGCAGAAGGGAGACAGAATCTGAATGACAAAGAAGGTAAACAATAGCCCCTGTGACCCAGGCCCTGACCACTGAGCTCCAATGACCTAAACCCCCTATAACTACTCTCACAACTTTTCTCTAAGTCTGAACTCAGGTCAAAAACCCAGGTCAGATCAGGTCAAGTTTTCCCCTTTAGTTTGTTGCCCATGTGGGGGTACTAGGGAATCACAAGGTTTGGCCCTCTCTAGACAAAAGAGCTTCGGCAAAAAGCACCCTGAAAAGAGCTGCACCAAGGCTTCCACTGATGCCCAGACAGGTACCAGTGAGCTTCCAGGCAAAGGTAACAATAACAGCTACCATTTTTTAGAGAGCGCTTAGTATGTGCCAGGCTTACTGCTTCAAAGTCTGTATGTATCCTCTCCTTAAATATTCAATATCCTACAGTATTTATCGTTTTTATGAAGCCAAAGCACAATGGCCCCAAGTCACATGGTTTCAGAAAGAGGCAAGATAA